ATGTATATACATATATATACATGCACACACTATTATGAGAGGACTTTTGAAGCACACTCATATACGTATATACAGAGCCCTGGCGGCATAGTGGGTTAAGTATTAGGCTGCTAATCACAAGGTTCTAATCCACCAGCAGCTCTGCAGAAGACAGATGAGGATGTCTGCTCTTGTAAAGAGTAAGTTTTGGAAATCCTATGGAGCAGTTTACTGTGGCCTGTAAGGTCACTAGGAGTCAGAATCTACTGGACAACAGTAGATAACACGGGGAAACCTTGCAAACTAGTCTTCTATACACCCAAAGACTGAATTTATCATCAGCAAATCCACAGGGCTTTGTGTCCTCTCACCAGTGGAAATTGTGTTAAGCTTGAAGAGTTAAAGTTGGGTTTTACAACACACTATAAGAAATATCATTTAAAATGCATTCTCTAAAATATTATTTATAAGACCACTTTCCTTCATTCGTACTTGGCTAAAAAATTTATATTATTTTTCAAACCATGGAAATACTTCTGTCGATTAAAACAGCACAAATTGATCGTATTTGGAAAGCATTCTAGATGTTGGATTTTAGGCCTATAATTTGTTATGCACATGAATAAACATTGGAGATTATCTGTTTATCTAGTCAGGCAGACATTCAGTCCGTTTCTGATTTCCCTGTTGTGTGTGTGTGTTGTTGCTGTTGTTGTTGAGCACAGCTGAGTCATTTCTGACTCACAACAACCCTGTATAGAGTTTCCAAGGAGTAGCTGGTGGGTTTGAACTATCAACCTTGTGGTTAACAGTTCAATAATTATCCTACAGTGCCACTCCAGGACTCCTGTGTATACAATGTTGTTTATTGTGAAGGGCCATCAATTTGGCTCTGACTCACAGTGACTCCATATAGGGGTTCCGAGGAGTGGCTGTTGGTTTTGAACCTCCAACCTCATGGTTAGCAGTCAAGTGCTTATCCTACAGTGTCACACCAGGACGCCAATAAAATCTCTAATCCTACCTAACTTGAACCATTAATTGAGAGGTTGGTCAAAATAATTTACTCCATTAGAAAATCATTTAATAAATAATATAAAAGTACATTGATTTGTCAACATGTTAGTGTAAAGTCAAGAACCATTTTTAGGATATGAATTGAATGATCGGCGTTCCACTTCATTTTTTATTTAATAATGAAAATTTAAATTGACAGTAAAACAGTCATTGATGGCAACCTGGATGCGTGTTTTTTAGATTTTTGTAAAGCTCTCGATTAGTGGTAAGGGAGTCCTAGTGGTGTAGTGGGTTACACACTGGGCTTTTAACCTCAGAGTCAGTGGTTCAAATCCAACAGCTGCTCCTCAGGAGAAAGATGAAGTGTCGACTCCCATAGAGATTTACAGCCTCAGAAACCCTATACAGGATACCTCTGAGTTGTAACCAACTTAATGCCACACAACATTAATGGTAAGAGTACACCCGGATATAGGCAGAAAAGTTGTGAGACTCAGAAAATAAGGAAATCCCACAGAATTCCAGCTCTTACAGTTTTCCCTGCAATACAGCTCTTGTGAACAAAGCCTAATACCTTGCCAGTCTTCTCCCTTATTCTCATTACTGCCCTACCTGAGTCTACTCCAACTAAAATTTGTGATATCCATTTGATATTTAATTTTGGAGACAGAAATATTGTACCAGGAAGGAAAATCTGACATAAAGAATATATCTTTTTTTTTTTTTTTGCTGGTCATAGAAACTCACTAATAATATACGTTCCTGTGACTTTTATTAAGATAGAAAATGGAGAAAGGTTATAGAAGCTAATGGGATTCCAGGGCAATCAAATTCAAATTTTTAAGCATTTTTTGCTGATATAAGAAAACCCAGAAAATAAAGTTAATATTGATTTAGTTCACTATAAAAGCTAACTGAGAAATAAAAAATACATTAAACAGAAATATTCTGAATCAAGGACAAACCCCCTTGGATACACTCTCTGTCATTTAAATTGCAGATGCGGCTGTAACAAACTGTAGGTTCAACCTTTCTTTAGCTTTGAGAAATAAGTTTAATAAATTTTATCTGAATTAATATCTATAATTTAAAAAGAAAGCAATGATTATCACAGATGATGAAACACTAAAACTTCCTTGCTTTCAAACTTTGTTTTTCACTGGGTGATAGGCAGGTGCGGCGCTTCAAGTATTTGAACTCTGTTTCATCTAATTCCCTGCCCTATTCTAGTGGAATATTTTTGTGTCTTTATTCACTATAAAATATGAAATGACATTTTTCATGCTCTCCTTGAATGTTCTTGGACACCTTTAGAATATAATAGTGACACTAATATTAACTCTTTGGGTCTATTAACAAGTTGTCTTTGACCTATTTTAGATATATCATCATTCCCATTGGAAAATGCCCCTATTGGCCACAATCGACAATACAATATGGTGCCATTCTGGCCTCCAGTGACCAGCACAGAGATGTTTGTTACTGCTCCAGACAACCTGGGATATGCTTATGAGGTGCAATGGCCTAGTGAGTGTCTACAGTTTAATTCCATTGTGGAAATTTCCAAAAGTAGATTTGTTATCTTTCAAGTAAAATCATCAGAATATCAGGAGTTCCTGGGTGGCACAAACCATTAAGCCAATGCTAGGGATCACAGTTCTATTCTGTCACACACAGGGTCACCATGAGAGCAACTGATTTTTGCCACAATATATCTGTGGCTTACATTATCCATTTGGACTTTGAAACTTCTGTTTTGATTTTCAATATTTGTTGAGGGCCAGTTCTGACTTGGTGTTGAGCTAGTAATATCACATACTACCTCATGTAATCTGTACCACTGTGTGAGATACATATTATAACTTATTTTACTAACAAGGCAACTGCAGCTTAGATAGGTTAATTGTCAAAGCTAATATTTCCATAAGGGACAAGAATGAGTTTTGAGCTTACACCATGGAATATGACTTTTTTTTACTGTATAATGCCATATTCTGGTGTGATGCTGTGGAATAAAGCACTGAACTACAAGGTCGGTTTGAACCACTAGGTCAGAAGCTCAAACACACCAGCTGCTCCTTAGAAACCCAATACAGGGTCACTATGACTCAGAACCGCCTCGATGAAACTTAACAACAACTACAATGTCATCTTCATGTATTTATCCTAAATGAAGAGAGGCTAAGATGCTCTAAATCCTCTTTCCTGGAATTTTGAAATTTAAATTTTTCTCACTTAATTTCAAGTCTCAATCTCCACAAAGACAGTTACAACTTATTGGAAAAGCAACTGTGATGGATTTGAACAGACCTGGGCTCCCAAACCAACTATATTGCCTATTAAACAAAGAACATTCTGGACAAGAGACCGTCCTTACCTTTTGAATGGAAATGATAACGTGTATCCTAATAGGGAGCAGTCATTTAATGAAGTTAGAAATGCCTGTGAGAAGTGTTGTTATAGGTATTGTGTTACAATTAAAAAAATTAAATGTGAGATTTCTGCAACCATGCTTACGTTTGTGTCAACTATCGTTGACATGGTAACTATTTAATTATTCACTTGTATTCTCTCTTTCTTTTTTCGAATAGGTCGAGATTTTAGTGTTTCAGAGATTGTTACTATCGGAGTAGTTGCTGCTTTATTAGCGGTTGCACTCATTTTTATTGGTGCTTCTTGTCTGATTCATGCCAGAAGCAAGATGGATGAAGCAAATCAGCCTCTCCTATCTGATCAATATCAACACTATGCTGACGAATATGAAAAAATCCAGAGTCCTAATCAATCTATGGTCTGAAGACAAAGTGACATAGTCTCTCAAAATATTCTACAGAAACTCATTCAGTACACAAAACCACCTGGTGGAAATAATGGATTGAGCCATGAACTGGATTCTCTTTCCCTTAGTTCCTTTCTGTTTTATCCATGTTAATGTAAGGATTAAAGTTCCAGATGTTAATTTCCAGGATTAGGAGGAGTCATTAACAAGTTTCTCATGTGTTATGTTTATCGGCTCTGTTGAAAATGGTGCTTTGCACCAATTCTGTGGTATTTCAGCAAATAGTGTTCAGATCACTGATCTGTTTTAAGGGTTGACTCTATGGAGTCCTGGTCTGGTGCATTAGGAGAAACTTGGACTAATAACCACAAGGTTGGAGGTTCAAACACACTAGCCACTCTTTGGAAACCCTATACAAGGTCACTATGCATCAGAATTGACTCAAAGGTACACACAACAACAATATATAATCATGTAAATATAAAGCTGTGCTTTGTAAGTTTATGTGCAAAATAATAATGATACATAGTAAATCTCTTTTTAAAATGCATGAGTAGACATTTCTACAATGTTAAACTGTATATACATTTATTGATGTTGGCCAACAGATATAAAATCAGTTAAGATTAATTGTTTGGAGTTGTAAATGGAACCCAGATTAGAAACATTTTCAAAATAGTCTTCTTTCTTGGGGTATCAACATGTTTAGTCTAAGAATCATGCTCAAAACACCACCGAATTATTTGTCACATTTTGAACAGGTGAAAGTCTTCATTTGTTTAATGGATGGTAGTTAGCACCTGTGCTTACTATTGTGTGCTCCTTTCTCACCCAATTCACTGGAAAAGGAAGTACCCATCTGCAAAACTAGGGCATGGGGGTTAACATCTGACCTCTGACTTCACAAAGGGGAAGAAGATGCAAACTCCTTAACCAAAACCAATCTCTGTGAGGCTAAGGTGAAACATGCCCCCCAGTCTTCCACATTCTCACCAATTCTGACACCGATTATCCCTCCCACAAAACTTTACTTCCTTGCTGGGTTTGATAATCTTTTACCCACAGGCAGTACTCACAATTATGGGTTTACTAGGGAAGTTAAGGGAGTCCTGGTGCTGTGCTGTAGGATAAAGCACTGGACTGCAAGATCGCTTTGAACCACAAGGTCAGTGATTCAAACTCACCAGTTGATCCTAGAAAAGCCTATATATGAGTCAGAACCCAATCAATGGCACTTAACAACAACTACAACAGGGAAGTTAAAGAGGGTACATTTCAGGATCAGAAACAACTCAGGATACAGCAATACCCTGGTCAGGAACACCGCTGCTTAGACATACTGCAAGCACAGCCTCTCAGCCATGTGGTCTGTTGGCCTCTGCCCTACTCAGACAACTGCTCTCAGCTCCTTTAGCTCAGCTGATAAATGTGAAAGAAACCCACTCAGTTCTGCAAGCCAAGCTGGTGTTCAATGGCACTGACTTTTACCCATTCCATAAGCCAGCAAGCCCATGGATCTGTCTCTCCATGCTGCCACCTCTAACACCGTCACTTCTCCATGCAAGGACCTCGTTGTCCAAAGGATACACTCTACGAGTAGCTCTTCTTTCTTGATGGTCTTCAGAACCTCTGTTTCTTCTTCTGAGATGACTCATTATAAACCCAGTGGAATGACAAAACCAACCAATCCCCATATTAAAGTTACATACATACTATTTGCAGGCACCCAACCAGTCATTTCGTGGGAATTAAAAAAGCTATGGTTGTACCTTACCATCCATATACAAAGGGGCTTCAAAACATTCATGGGGGAAAAAATGGAATTAAAGACCATGGAATTTTTTCATGACTTTTTGTAGCCCCTTCGTATTTCACTCCCAGTTCATTCTTTAATGTTTTGAAAGTCCACAAAGACCCCTTGAAAGTATAGACCATATCTCATTGTGTTCCACCAATGGCCTTCAGATCACTGTGCTTCATACACATAGCACTGTCTTATCATTTACCAGGATTTTATGTATTTTCACAAATAATATTGCTTAGAACATCTGATCATTCACCTGCCATTTCTATGCTATTCTGTTAGAATGCTATTCTTCTCCCCATCTCCCAACCACATCCAATTACCGTCCATATCCCTCACCCTATCCTTTCCTCCACCATTCCACCATCATCTACAAGTCGTTTGTCTCTTCTTGGTCTTATGCGACTTACGCAACAATCTCGGTGGGAAAACTCTGTACCCGGCTTGTAAGTGATGACACATTTTATGCAAAACCAATTTTTTAAGAAAATAATAGCAATGATATACTATAGAAAATGGGTAATATGATATAAACAATAAGCAGAAACAAGATTAAAGTTATGGAGTGCTGGTTGCAAGTTGGGCTACTAATCTCAAGGTCAGCAGTTTGAAACTACCAGACGTTCTGCAGAAGAAAGATGAGGCTTTCTGCTCCCATAAAGATTTACAGGCTCGGAAACCCTATGCAGGGTCACTCTGAGTTGAACTGAATCCATACCACATAACCACCACCACCACATACCCAACTGGTTATTGGGATTCCCTACATTAGGCAACTGTAAGGTCATATCGACAAGATAAACAGACAAAATATGTTAGTAAATAACCATGCTCATAACAGGATTCTTTTAACTTTCAAATAGTATTGTTTAGTTTCTTCTCTTCAAATACATTTTGATTTTTGAAAATATTATGTCCTGAAAGCTTTTTAGAGACTCTACTGCATAAACTACCAGCTGTTCTGCAGGAGAAAGATGAGGCGTTCTGCTCCCGTAAAGATTTACAGCCTCAGAAACCCTGTGCAGGGTCGCTATGGGTCGGAACCGACTCCATGGTACTTAACAACAACAACAATAGCATAATATAAGATTTATTTGTACATACAACATCAATGAAACTAAGTCTTACATTTCATTTTTTGTGGAAATTTACTAATTATTCCTTTCATAAATATTAAGCACATACTGGAGGTCTGGTAGTGTAGTGGTTACGAATCAGGCTGCGAGCCACAAGGTCAGCAGTTCGAAACTACCAGCTGTTCCGTGGGAGAAATATGAGGCTTTCTGCTCCTGTAAAGATTTATAGCTTCGGAAACCCTATGCAGGGTCGCTATGAGTCAGAACTGACTCCACGGCACACAACAACTACAACAACATATGTCATACATAGGAGTCCTGGTGTTGCACTGTGTGGGTTAATGTGCTGCAAAGTCAGTTTGAACAGAAAAGTTGGTGGTTCAAGCTCACCAATTGCTCCTTGAAAATCTTATACAGGGTTGGAATTGACTCGGTGGCACTTAATAACAAATCTTATACAGGGTTGGAATTGACTATGGGTTGGAATTGACTCGGCGGCACTTAATAACAAGACAACATAGTTCAAGGCACTAGGCATTGGGAAGGGGAAGAGAATCAAGGATAGTAAAATTGTAAAGTGACAGTTGACTTTGGCTTCAAGAGTGCTAAAGGATTCACAACACACAAGGCATACCATACAAAAGGGACAGTATGAGCAAAGACATAAAAGTTTAAAAGAACATGATATATCCAAAAATATATAATGATTCAGTGTGGTTGGATCACAGTTTCCAAGGAGAGAGTAGTAAGAAAGGCTATGGAAAAAAAATCAAATCTTCTGTACAAAGTCCTAGGAAATTTGGATTTTAATCCGTAGCAAGGGAAAACTAGGGGAAGTCAGAAATAACCTGGTATTTGACAAAGATATTGATAGTGGTGATATTTGTAGATAACATTAGTGAGATGTCATTTGGAATGGTTGTTGTTGTTAGGGACCATTAAGCTGGCTCCAACTCATAGCGACCCTGTGCACAACAGAACGAAACCCTGCTCAGTCCTGTGCCAGTCTCACAACTCTTGCTACAGTTGAGCCCATTGCTGCTGCCACTGTGCCAATCCATCTCATTGGGGGTCTTCCTCTTCTTCATTTACCCTCCACTTTACCAAGTGTAATGTCCTTCTGCAAGGACTGGTCCCTTCTGATATGCCCCAAGAATGAGAGACAATGTCTTGTCAACCTAGCTTCTAATGAGCATTCTGGCTATATTTCTTCCAACACATATTTGTTTGTTCCCGACAGACCATGATACTCTTAATATCCTTCTCCAGCATCATACCTCAAATGCATCATTTTTTCTAAGGTCTTTCTTATTCACTGTCCCAACTTGCACATGCATATGAGGCTATTGAAAATGCCCTGGCTTGGGTCAGGTGCACCTGGAATGGTTAGGATCATTCTTATGTAATAATTTGTAGGAATGTGGAAGAGGGTATGCCCTAAAACATACCAAACAAATTCTAAATATTCGGGGGAGGGGGTTGTTTTATTTTAAAAGAAAACTGTACTTATTATCTTATAAATACAGTTGTGATCATTTCTTCCTTGGTTTGTTGCTTTATTTTTTCTGTAAGGTCTTTGGTTGTCTTTGTACTTTTTGTGCAGTTTTTTTTTTTGTTTTGTTTTGTTTTAAAGTATTTACTGTGGATTGAGTGAAAGTTTACAGGGCAGATCATCAGTTTTACATTCAACAAATCATATACTTTGTTTCATTGCAATGATTATAATCCCCTCCATGTACCATCAGTGAACAGTATTTCTCTCTATTCATTTTAGCTCTTTTTTTTTAAACACTCAGGCATATATAATAATTTACACCACCAAAGGGCACATTCTGCAAACCTGCCTCCTGGTGGCCAGCTCTAAGTCCCTCTCTTTCCATGAGTCCAGAGTCCTCAGCTGCTCCCTCTCTCCATGCCCCTATCTCTGCCTCCATCTCTGGTATTGCTGCTTCTCTGGATAGGGTCCCACATTCCACTTGTGTTCTTCTCCCTTGATAGTCCTAGGGTCCTCTGTTTCTGGACTATAAGATTAACTACTCCCCCATTTTTGTTACAAAACTTCTACCTTTACAATTGTGACAGTTGCTATTAGTCATGATAACAATTACTCACTAGTGAATCATAAGGATCTTATCACC